GGGAGAAATATCAATAACCTCAGATATGCAGATGACACCACCCGTATGGCAGAAAGTAAAGAGGAACTAAAAAGCCTCTTGTTGAAAGTGAAAGAGGAGAGTGAAAAAGTTGGCTTAAAGCTCAACATTCAGAAAACTAAGATCATGGCATCTGGTCCCATCACTTCATGGCAAATAGATGAGGAAACAATGGAAACAGTGACAGACTTTATTTTCTTGAGCTCCAAAATCACTGTGGAGTGACTGAAGCCATGAAATTAAAAGATACTTGCTCCTTGGAAGAAAAGCTATGACAAACCTAGACAGTGTATTAAAAAGCAGAGACATTACTCTGTTGACAAAGGCCCATATAATCAAAACTATGGTTTTTCCAGTAGTCATGTACAGATGTGAGAGCCAGACAATAAAAAAGGCTAAGTGCCTAAGAATTGATGCCTTAGACCTGTGGTGCTGGAGAAGACCCTTGAGAGTCCCTTGGACAGCAAAGAGATCAAACTAGTCAATCCTAGAGGAAATCAACCCTGAATATTCATTGGAAGGATTGATGCTGAAGCAGAAGTTCTGATACTTTGGCCACCTAAGGCAAAGAACTGACTCATTGGAAAAGACCCTGATGCTGGGAGGGACTGGGGGCAGGAGGAGAAGGAAGCAACAGAGAACGAGGAGGTTGGATGGTATCATTGACTCAATAGACTTCAGTGAGCAAACTCTAGACCGAAGTCAAGCAAACTTCAGGAAATAAAGGACAGGGAAGCCTGGCATGCTGTAGTCCATGGGGACGCAAAGAGTCAGACACAACTGAGCGACTGAACAACGACGACAATGTGCATTTAAAGTGCACCATTTGGTGTTAATAAATGTATATACTGTGAAAGCACCACTAAAAGCAGGATCCTGAACACATCCATCACCTCTAAGTCCCCTCAAGCCACTTCACAAGACCTCCCTCCCACATATCCACACCTCCACCCCCATCCAAAGGCAACCACTGAAAATGCTGTCATTATAGATTAGTTTGCATTTTTTATAATTATCCTTAAGTGGGAAACAGGGGTTACTGATTTGAGATATTTTTCTTTTCTAATATAAGCATTTGATGCAGTACACTTCCTTCTGAGGAAGTGCACTGAATTAACTGCAGCCCACAATTTTGATGTTATATTTTCATTTTCATTCAGTTAAAAATACTTTTAAATTTTACTTATTTCTTCTTTGACCCATGAGTTAATTAGTTTCTTTAGTATATTTAGTGCTCTTTAGTATTCTTAGTCATTTAGTGTTATTCAGTGTTCTTTAGTTTCTAAATATTTCGGGATTTTCCAAACATCTTTCTAGTATTTATTTCTAATTCACTTCCTCTTTGTTCTTTGAATTGACTTAAATACTTTTAAATTTACTGAGACTTTAAAAAATGTCCTATAATATGGTTTATTCTGGTAAATGTCTCATTCTTTTCACTTGAAAAGAATATATATATTCTGCTGTTGTTATATAGAATAGTCAAGTCTTCTAAAGCCCTACTGATTTTTTCCTACTTGTTTTATCAATTATTGAGAGAGAGGTGTTGAAATCTGAATACAATTGAGAACTTTTCTACTTATTATTGCAGATCTATCAGGCTTTGTTTTTTGTATTTCAAAGCTCTGTTTTTAAGTGCATCAATATTAAGATTTATTATGTCCCCTTGGTTAATTTTTCCCTTTGTCTTTATCCCTGGTAATATTCTTTTCTCTGAAATCTACTTTGTCTTATGTTAATATAGTCAATCCAGCTTTGTCTGATTTATCCAGATACAGCTTGTCCCATTCTTTACTTGTAACATTTGTTTCTCTATGTTGAAAGTAGGTTTTTTGTAGACAGCAACAACTGGATCATGCTTTTTATTCAATCTGATAATCTCAATTCAAATTGAGAATTGACAAATTCAATATGACATTGGTTTAGACCATTTAATCGGGAGTGTTTAGACCATTTAAAATTAGTGTGGCTATTGATATGGCTAGGTTTATGTAAACCACCTTGCTATTTGTTTTTGGTCTATTACCTTTTTCTCTTTTTTCTATTTTGAGTGCTTTAAATTCAATTTTATCTTCTTCATTAGGTGATTAGTTCTAATTCTTTGTTTTGTTACAGGCATAACTCATTTTACTGCACTACATTTTACTGTGCTTCTGAGTCCTGCATCTTTTACTTGAAGGTTTGTGGCAACCATGCACTGAGCAAGTCTATCAGGTCCATTTCCCCTGCAGCACTGGCTCACTTTCTGAGTCACATCATGGTAATTGTTATAATATTTCAAACCTTTTCACCATTATTAATATTTTACTTCTTACAGTGATTTGCAATCAGTGATCTTTGATGTTACTACTATGACTTGAAGGCTCAGATGATGGTTAGCATTTTTTAGCAACAAAGTATTTTAATACTAAGATATGTACAATGCTTTTTAGACATAATGCTATTACACACTTAACAGACTGCTGTATAGTATAAATATAACTTTTATATGCACTAGGGAAGAAAAAAAGTGTGTGACTTGTGTTATTGCGATATTCATTTTAGTGCAATGATCTAGAACTGAACTCACAATATTTTCAAGGTACACTTGTCTTTTAGTAGTTGCTTAGGGTTTGTAATACACCTTTTTAACTTATCACAGTCTATCTTTAAATGATATTTTAGTACTTCACATATAGTATAAGAAACTTTCAATAGTATATTCCCATTTCTTCCCTCCTGGCTCTTAAGTTATTGTTGTCATCCATTTTACTTCTACATGTCTTATAAACCTCACAATTTATTATTATTTTTCATTTGTTATCATTTATGCATATGCCATATTTTTTTCTTCTAGACTGTCAGCTTGAAAGTGGGATTTGTATCTGAGTCAGTGTTGGCATTTAATAGGTATTCAAAACCTGTGTTTTTCAATAAATGCTGAAAGAGAAGAAAGGAGGCAGTGGCAAAATGGCTGTATTGCTCACCAAGGTGAAGTCCGGGACTTGTCCGACCAATGTAGAAATATACAATGGCAGCAACACCTATGTTAACCAGGGTATAGACCCACTGGATCACAAACATGATGAGAAGGGACCCAACAGCCTGTGGAAACAGAAGGAAGAATAAGTCAGCTCATGGTTGAAACACACACTAAGCAAGCCACAAGACAAGGGCCTTAAGTGGAGGAGTTCCCTGGTGGTCCAGTGGTTAGGACTCCACACTTCTACTGCAGGGGACCAGGGTTTGCTCCCTGGTCTGGGAACTAAGATCCCACAAGCCACGTGGTGTGGTCCCCTCAAAAAACAAACAAAAACCCTTGGTAAGACTAGGGCCTTTAGAAACAATGGTCCTCTCATCAACCTCTGAATCCTATAGAAGTCTGAATAATTGAATTTTACCCATAATGCAAAAAAACCTCTTTAAAGAAGATGTTTGAGAAGATGTCCTTCTGAAAGTACCCTCTAATCAAAACAATCACTAAATAGATATTCTATTCTAGCTCCTTGTCCTACTCCTAAGAGAAATATTTTAGTACTTCACATATAGTATAAGAAACTTTCAATAGTATATTCCCATTTCTTCCCTCCTGGCTCTTAAGTTATTGTTGTCATCCATTTTACTTCTACATGTCTTATAAACCTCACAATTTATTATTATTTTTCATTTGTTATCATTTATGCATATGCCATATTTTTTTCTTCTAGACTGTCAGCTTGAAAGTGGGATTTGTATCTGAGTCAGTGTTGGCATTTAATAGGTATTCAAAACCTGTGTTTTTCAATAAATGCTGAAAGAGAAGAAAGGAGGCAGTGGCAAAATGGCTGTATTGCTCACCAAGGTGAAGTCCGGGACTTGTCCGACCAATGTAGAAATATACAATGGCAGCAACACCTATGTTAACCAGGGTATAGACCCACTGGATCACAAACATGATGAGAAGGGACCCAACAGCCTGTGGAAACAGAAGGAAGAATAAGTCAGCTCATGGTTGAAACACACACTAAGCAAGCCACAAGACAAGGGCCTTAAGTGGAGGAATTCCCTGGTGGTCCAGTGGTTAGGACTCCACACTTCTACTGCAGGGGACCAGGGTTTGCTCCCTGGTCTGGGAACTAAGATCCCACAAGCCACGTGGTGTGGTCCCCTCAAAAAACAAACAAAAACCCTTGGTAAGACTAGGGCCTTTAGAAACAATGGTCCTCTCATCAACCTCTGAATCCTATAGAAGTCTGAATAATTGAATTTTACCCATAATGCAAAAAAACCTCTTTAAAGAAGATGTTTGAGAAGATGTCCTTCTGAAAGTACCCTCTAATCAAAACAATCACTAAATAGATATTCTATTCTAGCTCCTTGTCCTACTCCTAAGAGAAACAAATTAAATTATGCTAATATGGTATACCTGGAAATTCAGTGATCCAGAATTTATCAGAGATGATTATTTAAAAAGTAAAGCATTGATTAAAATAAATGGTTCATTAAATGTAATCTTGCCATGTGTAGCCTCATCTAAATTCTAATATGCAGGCAATTAAAACACATTGCTCCTAATAAAGACTTTCCTCTGTCCTCTCCTCAACCCCCACCCCAAGATCACACATGTACCCACCTGAATTAAGTCTCAAGAACAGCTGAGATCAAAATGAAGTTACTCACCCCCAACAGGGAGACCCAGGGATTGCATATGCGAGTGTAGAAAGAAGTTGGTCTCCTCTGGATATCTTGTTCCTGTAGCCTGGACTTAAGGAAGAAATCTAAAAAATAAATAAGCCAAAATCCTTGGTTACTATTTTGTTATCAAACCTTTTAATGTTTTTATTAGCAAACACCTATGTGCTCCTCTTCTCCAATTTCGTAATTCAGTCTAAAAGACAATGTCCACTCACCTCAACCATTAGTTTCCTTGGCCACACCTGAGGCTTGTCTTTACCAGAAAGTTCACCTCCTAAATCACGATTTCAATAAATCTGCCCTCAGTCCATCACCTCTGGTTTTTTTTTTTTTTCCTCAATTCACTCTGCTGTCTCCCACCCCAACTATTTATAGCCTGCAGGGGTCCTTCAGTCAACTTGCCCTAATTTGTTTTTGCTTCCTACCACCTACTTTCTCTTTTCATTACCCTCTTACCTAGCTTAGAGTCCATGTCCAAGACTATTAGCAAGCACTCCCTTGGACAGATCATCTACTTCCTCACTTCAGCATCACTCACAAGTCTTATACCTTAAGTTAACTTATTCTCCTACACTCTGATGTAATAAATTTACAACCTGTCCTCTCAAAAGAGAGCTTTCATATCCTCTCATCGCCAAATCTACCAATCTGCTTTTGTCTGTACCCTCTCTTCTGCCTTTCCATTGACGAAGGAGATGAACAGTGCTGGCTCCTACCTAAGACCCATCCCTATATTTGTGCCCTGCTCATTTCACCTTTGTGTCATCAATTATTCCATCCTCTACCAAATCATCCTCAACACCGTAATTTCTTCCAACTAAAGAAAGTTTCTGGTCACTCCCTAGCTACTGCCCTATTTTCCTTTTTTTTTTTTTTTTTTTGCTCAGCCTGGCCAGTGGTTTGTCAATTTTGTTAATTGTCTCAAAGAACCAGCTTTTAGTTGTATATTAATCTTTGCTATTGTTTTCTTCATTTCTTTTTTTTTTCACTATTGATAAATACTTTATTTTTTTTAAGGCTAATTACTTTACNTATTGGAGTTTCAGCTTCAGCATCAGTCCTTCCAATGAATATTCAAGACTGATTTCCTTTAGGATGGACTGGTTGGATAGTGGAATCATAAAAATGGAAGGAGGCTGGGTCCCTGAATAATGCATGGAGGAGAACCTCCCACTGATTTGGAACACCCTTCCTGGACTACTAGTGCAAGTGAAAAATAAATTTCCATTGTGTTTGAGCCACTAACTTTTTACTTGTTATAGCAGTTTAACCTCCTTTAGTTAATATACCTCCAAGCGGGCTGTAGGTCCTTCTGCTACTTCTATACAATACATTCCTGCCAAAGCCGGTGATCTTCTTTTAGGCTGGATCTTATCACAGTACACCCCTAGCTAGAACTTTCAGTGACCTTCTCTTGTGGTGACCATGGCATGTGTGACTCTACACAGGACTGACCTCTGCGTTCCTTACTGTGGTCATCTCCTATCCATCTCCCGTGACCCACTCCTCTCCAGTCACTCCTGGGAGTCTGCTGTTCTTGCAATTTGCCAATCCAATTCCCATCTGTACCTTTATAAATGCCATTTCCTCTACCTGGAACTCTTCCCTCACATCTCTGCCTGGCTCACTACTTATATACTTCAGTTTTCCATAAAAATATCCTCTTCTCTAAAAGATCTTTTCTGACAAACCTATCTGAAACAGAACCACCAGTCCCACCCTGGTCTCTGTCTTGTTACCTCACTTTATGATTCATCATATGACTTATCACTTACTGGCATCCCAGTATGTGTGCTTGCTTACTATGTGCCTTTCCTGATAGAAGGCAACTTCAATGACAACAGAGACATTCTCCATCTATTCAGCATGTTCTCCATCCCTAGTCTAGAATAGTGCTTAGAAAGTAGTAAATATCCCATACCTGAGGGTAAATGAATGACAAACCAACCCAGGCCCCAGAGAAGTCTGCATCGTCTCAACATGTCTGCCTTTATCACATACTTCCAACCCATTATACTTATTTTTTATACCTCCCTATCTTGAAGGCAGAGATTGTCTTTTGTAGCTCTAAATGTCAAATCTAGGCAGTTTGTGCATAGGAAGTGCTCAACAAATGTCTCCTTTTTAATTGTGGATTAAAAGAAACTCTTCCAGAAGACCTAGATAGACATTTATCCAAAGAAGACATACAGATGGCCAAGAAGCACATGAAAAAATGCTCATCATCACTAATTATTAGGGAAATGCATATCACCTCATATGTCACAATGGCCATCATTAAAAAGTCTACAAATAACAAATGCTGGAGAGGGTGTAGAGAAAAGAAACCCTCCTACACTGTTGTGGGAATGTAAATTGGTGCAGCCACAATGGAGAAAGGTATGGAGGTTCCTTAAGAATCTAAAAATAGAGTTGCATATGATCCAGCAATCCCGCTCCTGGGCATATATCCAGAAAAAACTATAATTTGAAAAGATACATGCACCCCAATGTTCATTGCAGCACTGTTTACAATAGCCAGGACATGGGAACAACCTAAATGTCCACTGACAGATGAATGGATAAAGAATATGTGGTATATATATACAATGGAATACTATTCAGCCATTAAAAAAGAATGAAATAATGCCATTTGCAGCAACATGTATGGACCTAGAGCTTATCATACTAAGTGAAGTCAGACAGAGAAAGACAAGTACCAAATGATATCACTTATATGTGGACTCTAAATATGACACAAATGAACTTATCTACAAAACAGAAATAGACTCACAGACATGATTGCCAAGGAGGAGGTGATAAGGATGGACCGATAGTTTGGGATTAACAAATTGTTACATATAGAATGGATAAACAACAAGGTCCTACTGTCTAGCACAAGGACTATATTCAATATCCTGGGATAAACCATAATGGAAAAGAATATGAAAAAGAATATATATATATGTATAAGTAAATCACTTTGCTATACAGTAGAAGTTAATACAACATTATAAATCAACTACAATAAAGTAAATATTGGAAAACTGTGCCAAGGTTTATAACTGATTTGAATTGACAGCTCTATTAATTTTTTTTTAAAGAAGCAGCACTGTTAAGATTGTCTTTGATTACACTGTATACTTTCAACATGCCCAATGCATGATTCATTTTTTCGATCACAAGCTTAGTGAAATATAGTTGTTCCATTGGTCATTAAGAAGAAACACGAATGGTGAAGAACTTAGGTTTTTGCCTAACTGAAACAAAATGTTTGCCAAGTGTTAAACTTACTTTTTCACACTTGATCTTGCACCAACTCAATTACACTGTACCCAGGGGAGCTGTGTGTATGTGTGTTTTCTTGAGGAACTACAGGAACAGTGATAGGAAGGAGTGTGTCTTCCACACAAGCACAGTGCGGTTTTACACATCAGCAATGCAAGGAAGAATTCAGTCAAGGATGCTCAATGCCTCTGAACAGGTACGACAGTATAAGCAGACAATTATTCAGAATTCTGAACAGCTATGGTTTGAAAACCCTTCCAAAATCAGTGAAGGATTCCCCCACCTCTTTTCAAGGATTATGCTGAAAGAAATAAGTCTTACAGACTAGTGGCAAAGGAGACAGTTTTTCATGTTAGAAATACTAGAATAACAACTGGGAAGGCAACTTTACCAAGCTTTAGTCACAGAACAAACAGGTAAGCACTGTGTGCTTAGTCTCTCAGTCGTGTCCGACTCTTTGTGACCCCATGGACTGTAACCCTCCAGGCCCCTCTGTCCATGGGGATTCTCCAGGCAAGAACACTGGAGTGGGTTGCCATGCCCTCCTCCAAGGGATCTTCCCAACCTAGGGATCGAACCCAGGTCTCCTGCAACTGCAGGGGGATTCTTTACCATCTAAGCCACCAGGAAAACCCTAGAATACCAGAGTGGGTAGCCTATCCCTTCTCCAGGGGAACTTCTTGATCCAGGAATCGAACCAGGGTCTCCTGCATTGCAGGCAGATTCTTCACCAGCTGAGCTACCAGGGAAGCATGTATTAGGCATGTTAAAAATATAAAATATAATAAACATAACATATAACATTAAATTGTCTTTTAAAATGTAGCAGTATGTCTAATAAGTCCTGTATTCACAAAACCCATGCAGATATGAAGACTTTAAACATGAAGGGGAAAACAATTATGTCAATTTTTTAAACCACAAATTTAAATAATTTTATAGAAATTATTTAAAATCAATATGAAGCCATCTCTGGAAATACACTCCATATTTTCATCAGGATAAACAAACACATAGTTGTAACTAGCAGGTACAAAATAAGAATGGGCACTGATATGGTCCACAAGGGATCATGTTTCAAGCATGTTTCAAGTTCATGTGGTATCTTATCATGTTGATTCTGCAATCTTTTAACCACTTATCAAATACTGCACATCTGTTTCTAGGTTGTCATCAGCACCAACAATGCAGTTTTGAGAATCCTGTACATATTTATGGTTTGCTGTTTGGTTTATGGTTGTTTTCTTAGGATACAATTCCCCCAAATATAATTACTAAGTCAAAGCAATTAGACAGTTTTATATTTCTTGTTATATCCTAAAAGTTCATTCTCCAGAGAGAATGAACCAGAGGGACTTCCAGCTACTGCAATGTGAAGAGGGCAGTGAATCCTCTCTGTAAGAGATAAGTATACAACTAGATGAAATTATCAGAAACAATCCCTTGGGGCTCTAGAAATTTACCAAATGGAGACAAACTAAGAAGTGTTTATTTTTCTAAAACTGCTGGAGCTGAGGGTAACAACAGTGAGAGCTTACAGTCTTCCTCCGGGCTACTTGTATCCCCACTCCAGTTTTTAGTAGCATGGAGCTTGCCCCTGTGTCTATGTGGCCTAGGAGGCTACCCCCTCTGCCAGCAGATCTGTGTGTGGGCTGGGAAGCATAGTTGAAGCTGACTTTGACTTTTCCCAGTCTCTCTCAGGCTGCCCAGATCGGCGGTGTGGGGAGCTACAGTCTTCCCATGGCTCTCTCATTTCTAGAATCTCCCCATTAAATTTCTGGCTGGTACACTGCTCACCCTCACTGGTTCCGCTCCC